AGGAACCCTCAAAGTGTTCCCAGGTGATGCTGCAGGCAGGGGCATGCTGTCCCGTAGAAGCCCGCAAGGCTCTGCTGCTCCCCCAGACCTTGTCGTAGCTGCACCTGCAGGGAGCTGGAGTCAGAGCTGTCCCCCTTCCCTCATCCTGCCCACTCTTGATTGGCACCTTATGTCCTGATGTCACCCGGTGGCAGGGTATATCTGGAGGGGAAGGGACACCTTGAGACATTTTCTACACAGGCTGGAGGACAGGAATTGAATGATTTGCAAGGGGAGCGCTTGGCACTGTGAGTATTTCCAGGAGCTCAGAGCAATAACGAGGATAGAAGGGGGAACGAAGGAGGAACTGGCTGCAAAACCCAGAGGAGAGGAAAGTCCTGATAAAATCCCATGGGAAAAAGTTTGGATTTTTGTGCCAGGAAGTTGTAAATATCCCCAGTAACTAAGAGAGGGAGTTGTACTGTTTGTGTGGTCATGTTCTGTTTCATCTTAACATTAGGGCTCACTGCCTGGAGCAAAAGTAGGTGCTGCAGGGATGGTTTGTGTTGAAGTTTCGTGGCTCCACTCGGCTGGTTATGCTGGGCAGTCCTTCAGCTGTGGTTCACTGGTGCCCCTTGGGTTCGTGGACTCAGCTAGCCAAGCCTTCTCGGCACAGTGCCGGGGGGATGTCTGAGGAGTGCTGATTATAGCATGCAGTTGTCTGGGCTTGTAGCTGCTTTTTCGTGCCCAGTGACACACACATCAGCAGGGAGTTTATGCTGTGCGATGCCGCATCTCTGGTGCTACTGAATCCCTTCTTTGATGTCACTGTTTAACCAGGGTGGGCTTAGACAGTCTTTCCAACGATCTCCATCAAGGAAGCAGTTGTGGGAATATAGTTCTGCTTGAAATTAGTTTATGTCTTTTTGAATGCATCCTCTTGTATTTCTTCCTGATCTTAAAACTGTTGCTAGAAGAAAGGGTCCAAGATCCTGTGTAAAACACAGGATCAGAAATGGTTGAACCTGCATGCATTTGCTCCATCCAGCTCAAGCGACTGAGACTGGAGTTGTGAGGCCCTTCATACCTCACAGACATCTTACACTGGATACAATATTCTTTGGCGAGAGCCTGGCTGCAAGGATGATGCCAGAATCTTTCATCAGGTCAACACCTGAGGGTGCAGGAACCTCATTAAAAGGAATGTAAAAAAGAAGGTATTTCCTCCTGGATGCTTTCCTTCCCAGCGTAGTACTGCATGGAGGGGCACAGCTCATGAGAGTTCTTTATCTTGCACCCTTAAGGCACCATGAAGACGACAATGCACGTGGAGGAGTCGGTATTTGAAGGTCTCAGACGGGGAAGATCAGATCCAACACAGAATCTCTCTGAAAAAGGTCAAGCAAGGCATCTGCGCTATCTGTCAGGGAAATTTTCCATAGAGAGTAAGAGATTAAGGTGGGAGGAGGGGAGAGATTAAAGAGATGACATTTGTCAAAAGTACTCAAGCCTCTTTAGGTTCAAAGAAAAGTAAAAGAAGGATGATTGTCCTGGCCAGCAACCCAGAGGTGGAATATCTGACGCAATTGAGTTAAGAACATTACTGTGTATTAGGTATAATTAGCATTTGGATGCAAGCAAGGCTCTTACCCAGTGGATTAAACCCCGGACTGAGCAGAAATGCTGTCAGGAACAATTAGCTAACGCCTTGTTAGAAGAAGGGGCAGAGGAAACGTGTGGAAGAACATCTTGTTGCTCAGCAGGCTTTGTGTCCACAACTAACAGTGCTCACCCAGGAGCTGCATCCCAGTGCCAGCAGCAGTAGATGAGCTTTGGTGACAGCCCGGGAAGGCAAGGGGAAGTGAGGCAGAATAGCACTCGCGGAGCACTACAGGAGTTGACCAAGTCTCACTGAACGCTTGTCAAGCCATCTGGTGTGGTACCAAGGATTATACGAGAACCGAGGTACGGAGAGGTGGAAGACTGGGAAATACTATTGGTAAGCTGCCATGGGTGTTTCATTTGTGCCCGCGATCCCGGGAAGTCTGCCTACTCCCATCTGGCCATGTGCAGGGGTAGCTGATTCCCAAGCTGTGGCACTGGGGTAGCTTCTGGTGCTGTTGGGCAGCACCCTCTCCAGCATAAACGGAGATGTGTGTGGTGGAAAGTGAATCCCACCAGCTCAACAGTGGGAGGGTAGCTTGATTCTTGCTATGAGCTGGAGGCTGTGCTGTGGCATTAGGTTTGCTTTCCATTCTCTGTGTTTGTTTGGTGGTGAGTGGGTAGGATAGGTACAGGGAGGCTTGTATGGAAGAAGAAACAATTGTCCTTTTTAGCATCATTGAATCCCGTTTATCAAATTCATCCAGGTGAGAGAGAGGATGTAGTGTGATTTGGTCAGATCCTTCCTCCTTCTAAATCCCAGCTATACAGTATCTGGCAGGTGGATACAACACTTTAAGATTGGCATAGACGGAGATTCCAAGACTGAATCTTTCTGTTAGCTATTTCTCAACTGAGTGATGACCAGGGGCAACACACGGACCTAAGACACTAAAAGGAGTTGCCCCTTGAAGACATTTTGGTGGCTGAAGTACTCTGCTGGCAGAAAGCAGGGGCTGGTAAAGCAGGGGGTGAAATCACTTGAAGACTGAGCTCAGCTGCATCTTATAAATTCTGGACATCAGGTCAAATGTTGGAAATGTTAGCCCTTTTGTTCCTTCTGTTTCACTCTTGAGGACAGTCCTTGAGAGGGGTCCCAAGGCTCTTCACATGTCAAAGGAACTGAAGGTGCTTGGAAGTGGGTATTTGTCCTTGTATTTCAGGAAAGGTATGTAGCACTGTAACCAGGCACCCTACTGGCTCAAATTTCTCTTGAGGCCGAGGCATAATGCAGACATCCCATGGAGCACAGGTTTCCTGTTCAAAGCATTTTGTTGTAGAGCAGTACTTTTAAAATTCCTCCCTGGTCCTGAGGAACAGTGAGGCACCAAATTCTCTCTTGGTGTAGATTCACACAGCTCTGTGTGACTTCAAACCAGTGGCCCAAAATACTGGAATTCCAGAAATTTTGGAGTATCTCCCAGCAGTGCAATGGAGGTCACATCAATCACTGCACCTCTGTTCCCACTCTGTAAAAGATGAAAGTAACAGTATTTGCCTCTTCTGCCACAGCTCTGTGAGAATAGAGCTATAAATACTGGGAAACTGCTCAAGTACTTCAGAGATGGCAGCCACATAAGTAGCTTCTATGATTTGGGCTGATCCTTGGCTTTGTGGCCATGCTGTGCGCTTAGGAAGCCTGCCTTCCTGGGCACTATGTGCTACAGACAGGGGAATAGCATCTGTGCATACTTCAGCTGCAGACACAACCATCTGCCACTCCATTTGTGACTGCTGGACCCCGTCCAGCCTCCTGCAGCTGAGGCAGGAGCTCTACCACAAGTGGCAGAAGAACTAGCATGCCTCTAGGTGCTATCATTAGGACCCATCCTAATGCCATCCCAGATGGAAAAATGTCAAGGGGGAAGTATTCCCAGAATGCCACAGATACAGTAATGTAGCTCTTGGCCTCACACTGAATTCACAGTGACAAAGCGGGGTTGCTTGGATGCTCTTTCCTCTTGCACCCTAGGCTTTGCTTTCCGGCACTTGCACCGTTTCAGGCACTGTCAAAGACATGAACCTCAAACTAAGACAAAACTACCTCATCTTTGATGGCGTGTGTGGTTCTGAGATTAAAAGTCTGAAGTGTCCCCGGAGGTGAGACTGGGGATTAGGCCAGAGCACTGTGGTGACATAATGGGATTAGTTGGCCTTTACTACCAAAATCCTGAAGCTAATTCCATCAGCTATCAGCACGGCTGCACAGGCACAGATGTTGGGAGAGAGGAGTTATGTAATGGTCATGGGGAAGAATGTGACTTCGGGTGGGGGGGAAATGGCAATTATTTTTGTCCACAAATGCGCTTGGTCAAGCCATTCTAACATACTAATTAGCATGAAATTTGGCAAGGGGCTGGGAGCTCCCCTTTGGGCACTAGTGAAAGTTACTGCTGTCCTGCCAGGGAAGGAACCACAGCTCTCAGGGCAGCAGCTCTGCCTGTTGAGGCGGCAGAGAGGCATCTGCCACACGACAACTGATCCTTAATAACCATTGAGCTCTTGCAAAGTGGAGCTCTGGCCTGACCCATGTGCAGTGTGGTGCTGAGGAGGTTGATGCATGTAATATAATGCTTCAGATCATCAAAATGGATAACACGTCCTGGGGAAAGTTACAAGCTTTTCTCTCCTGAGAAAAGCCTGGGAAATGGAGTACTGTTTAAACTAAAATGTGCAATGCTTTGCCTTAGCCTTCTTTACAATCCTTAAAGCATCCTCTGCTATTTCCCGGAAGGTTTAGACTAACAAATATGAGGCCATAATTGCAGCTGCATTCAGACTAAGGGTCCATGTAGCTCAGCATCCCATCTCCACCAGTGTCCAAAAGGCAATGCTTAGGCAGGAGTATAAGAAAAAGAGAAACAAATCATGATGATTCCCAAGGACAGGCTACTTCTCTGAGCCAGAAGTGTGTCTTTATGCTTCCTAGTAGTCATATTCTGAACTCTTGAGTAAAAACACTGACACTGCTGTTGCAGGACAAGCTAGACGCCAAACGCTAATTGGCATTAGCGTTTCTACTTTGTCCAAATTGTTGGACCAGCTGCTGCAGCAACCCATCTCCAAGAGTCCAGCCACGTCTGAGACAAAAGAAGGTATAACTCTCCACTACTCTACAGGTCATCACACTGCGGGGTTAAGTGTCCCTGTTCGGAGTGTCCATGGTTTGGCATCCTAACTCTAGCAAGCAGGACAAAAGGCAAAGCTGTCATGCTACTCTGTATGAATTGAGTCTTTCCTTATGCTCAGTCTTATCACAATTCAATTCTCCATAATTATTCTGTCATCTGACCATTGGTACCTAGAAATTATAAGCAAAGTGTCCTGCCTTTGTTTCAGTCCTTGTAATTATCTTACAGAGGGACCTGAGAGAGGAGTGCCCCTGACACACGCAGCAGCTCAGCAATGAGTGAGAACCCCCCTGCCACTCTCAACACTGGAGACGCTCCCACTGGTCCCACCACACCGCGCAAGGGGCCTCCCAAGTTCAAGCAGAGACAGACAAGGCAATTCAAGAGCAAGCCTCCTAAAAAAGGAGTAAAAGGGTAAGAGTGTTCTCCCTGCCAGGGGAGGGTGACCAGGGTGCCTTTCCTGCCCGCTCACAGAGACTGGGCACTGCAGCAGAGGCAGCCCACCTTCCTTGGGCTCTGCACCAGAGGAGCTCTGGCAATGAAAAGAAACTGTGCTCATCGGGGCACTGTTAAGCAGAGCTCCTGAAGTACCGTTGCTCTGCGGAAGGAGCCAGGATGCTTGCCCATGGCCCCAGGGAAAGTCCCGTGCTGTTAGCTCTCCTGCTCAGGCCCCAGCCCAGAGCTGTTCCTCCTCACCTGCTGCTCACCCAGCCGCCTTCCTGGGCAAGGTAATTCAGGTCACAAGTAGGGTCCCCTTTCCTGGGTGCTGCTAGTCTAAGCTCACCCCTTATCTACTCTTTTCTCCTATAGGTTTGGAGATGACATCCCAGGCATGGAGGGACTGGGGACAGGTAAGTACTGTGGGATGTTGTTATCATAGACATTTTTAAAGCAGCAAGTGCAATCATGCTTCAGCATAGGAGAGGATGATCTGCAGAGTCAGGCAGCAGCCTCACTCCCTGGCCCCTCTGTAGCTCTCAGGACCATGGGAGAAGTGTACCACTCCCTCCACAAGCTGTTGTGCTTATGCTTATATACACCATGAGACAGAAAGGCCGTTTAGGCACACTTCAGTTTTTGAATACTTGACTGCAAGTATGCTTGTTTGTCTTTGTTTTCTGCTAATATTCTGACAAAGAATTTCAGCAGCATGAGGTTTTCAAAGAAATGCCAAATGCTAAGCTATTAATATAGGAAAATCACAGGAACTAAATCTCAGCTGGTTAAATATTTGTGTTATCACCAGAATCCTGGTTTTCAAAATTTTATGCACCCACCTGGGCTTGAGAAACACACACTGGATGACCTGTGACCAGTCGCAGCTTCTTAGGCTTCAATCACAGCTGCACCTATCAATAAGCTACAGAACTTCAATGCTGTAGACCAAATTATTCAACATCTGTTTTAAGATAACACATATCTTTTAGGATATCACAGTCTGGCAACAGGCAGTTTAGAAGAACAGGAGAAACCACATAACAGGAATGAATTTTCACATCAGTCTACATAGTCACTGAAGAGATTATAGGACATGCTGGTTTGCTCTTATTCACAGAGAAAGATGGCACAGGAGAAAATGCAATGAGCTAGTTAAGTCTTGTACATAGCACCAGATTTGAAGGGCTCATCTGTCCATTTAATCTTCAAGTACAGGCTGATTTTTCCTGTTCTTCCCATCTCTTAATGTTTCCTCAGTAAATCAGCCTTTCTATTCACACAGAAGAAATCCAAGATGTACAGTGACCAGAACCCATTTCTCATTCTCTCTCCTTTGCAGATATCACAGTGATTTGCCCATGGGAAGCTTTCAGCCATCTGGAACTACACGAGCTGGCCCAGTTTGGGATCATCTAAAGCCCCAGCATCTCTCCTGCTGTCACCTGGTGACTCCACAAATCCTAATATGGTCTTCATCACCTCTGACACTTACTTTTGGCCCTTACACCCATCTGCTTATGGGCAGAGTGGCTTTGTAAGAGCTAGCTATGAGCAATTTCTTTGCAGATCAATTTGGCAAAGAAGTTATTCAGGACCCTGAGCAGACCTCATGCTTCATGTGACGAAACTATTGAAAATATCTCAATGCCTCCCTATAAAATAGCCTGTCTTCTCCCGCTGCTGCAGATCTTCATGTGTATGGAGACAATGGGATACTGCATTTGAATTTTTCCCTTGGTTACCTGAGATACTGTGTGCATGAGTGTGCATGTACATCCAGACCTAATTATACCAAGCCCATCCTTTTTTCTTCCCTCCCTGACAGCTTTCTGTATACGATTTCCACAAGTATGTCCCCATGTTATCTGAGCCATCAATTGGATGCTCAGAATATATCCGTAGAGAATAGAATCAGAGAGTCACCAGTCCAGACACTGGGCCATTTTGCAGTAGGAGGAGACCCTTCCCCAGGAGATCACCATAAGGAATCTATCACTAAGATTTACCTCATCAGCAAAAGGGCTTGGAAATGTTCCCTCTGCTGTACTAGCCATCGACTAGTCAGCAGCCGTGAGATTCTGGCTGTTCGAACGATGTTAAATGAAAATTTGTGGTGTCCAAGATCAATAAGTAAGTGAATTAATCCTACCAGTCATTCATCTTGTACTCATGAGTGGTTGCGATTCTAAAACTCACCAAAGGACATTGCTTTCCTACTTTTCCAGTGGGGAGCCTCTGTGAAACACTTGCACTGTCTCCATGCCCATACATAGTTATATGAGGTGTTTTCCTCCTCAGGACATATTTGCTGTTGGTTAAGAAGACAGAGAATCGTTACAGTTTGTTACCAGACAGTGCCAGTAGTGAAGCCTCATCTATCACAATATGGTGTTGTGTTAGTTGCTTCCTCTTCCTTCTATTTAGCATGGGGCAAGTCTCCCTTCATCCCACCCATGCTGGTTCCTGTTCACCACAGAGCACGAAAGGTGTTTTCTCTTCACCCTCTGGCAACTTCACACTCTAGAGCTGGCTTGGAGAAGCAGTCGAATGGCTGTTCCCCAAGGAGTGACAGCAGGTAGCAAGGCAGGAGGAGGTTGGGATTAGGCAGTCACGGAGCAATTCCCTTCAACCTGACTGATTTAACCTGCCTGGTCCCTGGCAGTCCAAGTGCTGGTGAGTGGCAAGGCATTCACACCCGCTTAAACACTCAGGAAAGGCCCTGAGACTCCTTGTGGCCCTTGCATTAAGCAAGGGCTTTCATTTTGTTCGAAGGCAAGGGGCAAGCATTGCTGTAGCCGTGTGATATTCATAAGAGGAAATGGTATTTTTAGTCATCGCCTTCAACTTCACAAAGCTCGTATTAAAACGACTTCCCTTCAGTTCATCTTTTGTGTGTTGAACATGTTCATGGGAACAAGGAATGGTTGTGGTGAGGACAGCAAGTCCTGTCTCTGTTCGTAGTCAAGTCTAGGAAAGATGGATCCCCACCTGTAAAGCGTTGCTATAAATCTGTATCTGTGCTATAGTTATCAGCTACTATCTTTCCAAAAATGGAAGCTAGCAGTTTTCATTTAAAAAATAGTTTCAACACCAAAAGCTAAAGGAAATTTTTGGCAGTCCGGCATACAGCTTTTATTTTTCAGCACTTCTGCCATTAGAAACAGCAATAAACAGAGAGGCAGTTCAGAACAGCAACACAGTCACTGCACATGCATCAGGTACCATTTGGCTAATTGCAGTACACAGCTGTTTCCTTTGGCAGAGACAGTCTGTCCTCTCTGCTTACTCCTCATTTCTCACATCTTTCACCTTTTAAAGCTTTTATTTTTTCCTGTGTATTCTATGTGACAGTGACATTTTATTTAGCTTTTACTGGTAGGAGACTGATTTAATTTTTTTTCAAGCTCATGTCCTTTTCATCTCCTTTTCTGTTTAAATGTGAACGTTCCTATGTCAATGCTCTTGTGCTTTCCTTCATGTTACACTGTCCTGTGGCATGTGATCCTTATTTCACCTTCTCAGTCTGTTCTCTTCTTATAAACTATCTCGGAAAAGACCCACTGGATCCAGTTTTGGATCATGCAAGGAGCTTGCTGGCTGCCTCTATTGTCACTGAGTTGTTCTGTTTTTAAGCAGGAGTATACCAAGAAGAAAAACTGTGAATTAGTCCTGTCACTCCTTTTTTCATCCCAAGTGTTGGGAAAGCAGTACAAAAATAGTGAGATTCTCTGCCAGAAGATACTGGGGTATCAAGAAAGTTCTCTTCAGTCCAGGGACTGAAGCCTTTCAGCAAACAGGAAGGTGCTGGTGTAGTTCCACCTCTTTGACTGCCATATTCCCTGCTCCTGTCAGAGAACTACTCCATTCTCCTTCCTAAAGCAGACTAATAGTACATACATACCCCAGCTTTCATGTATGGCTGAAGAGCTTTTTCTGAAGATGTTTTGAGTCACCACAGCTTGTTGGTTATTTTTAAACTTTTTTTTCTATGCACTGAAAGGGATTACATTTGTTTCTTGTAAGAAATTCTGAGACTTAGAAGTGGAGTCTTAAAACATCCTCACAATTGTTCTATCTGAAGTTCTGAGGATTTTTCTAAAGAGATATATTTCCTGGAACCTTAATTTCATTTAATTTTTCAAGCAGTGAGAGTTGGCTGTGATGCAAGGAAGCAAGGATATTTAAATAGCTCTTTGAAGGTCTTCAGTCTATATACATTGCAATACATTACTCTTTGTTCTTTTGCTATAAAAACAGGTCAAAAGCAATAAAAATTAATAAAAGTTGTTAAAAATCCTAAAAATGTAGTTTGTCTTACTTACAAAATATATCCAGAGAAAGACAGATGGCTTAACTTTTCATTCTGAAATCCTCTCAATGGGAAAGCTCTGCCAATCACTCACCATGACAGAAAATTAGCTACTTTATCTCCAAACAATAGGCTATAAAGTCTGACTGTGATATCATCTGAGAAGCAGATCTCTGAGAGATGATTTGTGTATTCTTGGGCTGAAATCTTTTGGACAGTTAGGTCTGTTGGGACCCTGTACACAACTGAATGTCAGCATGTTTCCACCCCATAGCAATAAATGACTCGGAGATCTGAATACCACTCAGTTCCTTCTCAATGCCTATGACTGCAAGACAGCGCTGCAAGCTATCATCTTCCTTTGCTTGTTAATATTACTGAGCTTTCTAAATGTTCATATGGCTTTGAAGTTGGTTAGGGTCAGCAGCCTGCTGGTACATACTGCTAGGTGTCAGCCTCAAAAACTGTTCTCTTTTGTGCCATCTTTGGAGGTTCTTTCTTGCACTTTGTCACTGAGTGCCTAATCCAAAGTCTTTTGGCTTTGAATGTTGTCTGTCCTGTGAGGCACAAACACCAGTTAGCCAGGAGTCTTTTTTGGCTTTGCATAATTCCTTCCCTAGCAGCACTTTGAAAGCCAGTGAAACCTCCTTTCGTGTGGTTGGTGCTACATAATAGGACTGACTTTAAAGCTGGGCTTAGCTGATGCCTGGACAAATTCTGTATCATACCAAGAGTGCCCTAGAAGATGAATCACATCCTCACTGCCATCAGTTCCACAGCAGTGAACAGTGAATAGGGTAGTGAGGCAGTTAGTTAAGTAAATTTAAATCTTTGCAGGAAAAGAAGCATGAACTTTCAGAAAAGTGAGAACCGTGTCTCTTTCTTTTCCTCCCCAAAATGTCTAAATCACCTCAGGAATACCAATTTTTAAAGAAATCTTCAGTGTAAGTTGGGTACTTTAGGGGATCTGAAATACTCAGTGCAAGATTCCCACCCTCCAACCATGTGCAAATCAGTGCCTCACTCAGTACCAAGTCATTATCACATTTTCCTGTGGTATCGATTAATATTGTATGGAAGTACCCCACAAACACTAACGAATACACTCCGACAATAGCTGTTTGTGTTTTGGAGGGCATTTGTCTTAATATAAATGTGATTCTGAGACTGAGACAGAGTGATGCCAAAAGTAATCATTATCTTTAGACCTCCAGTACCTGCTTTTCCAGAGTACTTAGCATTTTGTCTTGATACTTAAAATGCAGCTCTCATAGATTTTGGTCTTATAAAATGCCCATCTGGACAGAGTTGAAAAAAGGATATAAGATCACGCAATTAAAATTAAAGATTATATCATATGCTTATGAATATAATATGGGGTTATGAATTTATTTTGCACAGGCAAACTTAACCTCTGGCATTTCCTAATACTAAGCTGCCTAACTTGGAAATCTTCCTCGCAACCCCAATAGAGCTGTCCAGGATTTTAAAAGGTGAGCTCAGCTTAGGACACAGAAGTTGGGCACTTGCACCTTTGAAGGCTGTCCCGACTGCCCGAGGCAAGGAGTGCTTATGGCTCCCCCCCCTCCCCCCCACCCCCCCAACTGCTGAAGCCACTTCGCTAGGAGCACCTCTCCACCTCAACCATAAGGATTTAATTCTATCAGCCGGTTTAATTCAACAGCCGGATTCCACAAGAGAGATGACATCTGGGCCACCAAAAGGCAACCAGGACATCAGGTGGGCATGCAGCAGCAATGCTGTGAAGGCCCTGCTCCATGAGCTGCCTGCCAGAGCAGTAGGCCCAGCTCTGCCCTGCTGACCACATCAGACAGGGAGGGTATGGCAGATGGCCAAGGAGCATTTGCAGGAGCTCCAAGCCTGTCATAATAATGAAGAAAACCATCCACACAAGGCACCAACCCTCTACACAAGGCACCCACTGAGTCAGTTGAACTTGTCCCCTAACAACAGGTCTAGCTCCCACTGGGAGGCAGTGATAAAAGCAGCACAACCATCCAGGAAGAAAAAGAGCTCAGGGAGAAGCACATCAAGATGTGGGAGCAAGGGATGCTGCAGACTACCACCACAATGGCCACGTCACCAC